GATTGAGATTTACAAATACTGTTTAGTAGTGGGTCAATTCACTTTCTTTAGTATGTTGTAAGTAATGTTCCTGAGAGAGCGAAGTGCTGTTTATTGAGTCAAGAATTAGCGCGCGAAAAGTTTAGTTAGGTCAGAGTTTTGGCTAGTGTGGATTTGTTTAGCATCTCTCCAGGGTTGAAGTTCTGACAATATTTATTATTGAAATTACAATAAATGTGGCACAAGGCCGAAAAGGGGGTTGGGGTAAAGGACGGTCATCACTTGTCTTAGTATTGTGGACTCATCCAATATCCTCACCTTTTCTAACCTAAAAAAGGTACAGTCCACATCGTACGCCTACGTACTAAAAAACCTCAACCAATAGAAATGGCGAAAATCGAAGCAAGCAATTCCATTGGTCAATCGTTTACAGAAACAGAAATTGCGCCAAAACGAGTTGAGCCACCCGGTGGATATATAAAGGAAAAGCAGACAGCCCCATTCAGTGGAAGCGGAGCAGCAGAGTAGCTGTAATTACCAACATTCAAGATGTAACATTTCACCGACTCCCGTCTTAGTCATCGCTGACCAGACGATAAAGAAAATTACCAACTCCATTCAGTTAGTCTAGCTAACTCAGCGAGCAATTGCCTAAATACTCCACGACGTTTCGAACCATAATCTTGCCGCGCTTTTCAAAGAACATTCACTGACTCACTTCGAACATTCGACGAACGACTCTTGAAACTTTTCACTTAATTTCTTATGCATATTGATTTATAATCATTACAAAAATAAGAAATACGAAAGCGAACACAAATACAAAATACGATTAAGGGTAGACTACTTTGACAAACACTTTTGCATAAAACTCTTAATTTTATTATTACAATCTTTGATACAAACAAGAAAATAGCAAACATTACGATACAAGAGACATTAACCATTTCAGCATACACATACAATTTACGCACGCAACTCATACAAATATTATTCCAGTTTGTAAATGTTTAATTGTATATAAATGTTGTATTGTTTTGATCTATATATGTCTCGTTTTTTCCTTGTTTGAAATATCACGATTGTTTGTATATTTGTTTGGGACGCGGTCAAACACGCAACCATTAATAACAAATCCTTCTGATACGTTAAACAACCACGACGTCCCCAACAGTATAAAACTTAGCTAGCCACAACCACTGACCCTATCATACAAAACAATATTCCTTTCACCAAAACAACACATTTATCCATACCTTTCTTACTACGTTCACCAAAATGCCTCTTTGACTCAATGAAAATCCTAAATACTCCCCTTATGTACAAGTATTGTCTTGGGGGGGGGCATAAAAACGACAACTTTTTAAAAAGATCCCCAATGAGTATATACAAAATGACAAATATAATTACAAGAAACTAAACAAAATTAGTGTTAGTACTAAAACCCCCCACAAACTTTAAATGTGGCAGAAATATCAGTTAACCGGACGAAATCGACGCGGGACTTATGAAAATAAAGGACACACTCATTCCCCCCAAGCATTCACACAGGCACACACTCATTCATAAACAACAACAAATACGAAAAACACACACGCGAAACGAAAGGCGCCCCGCATCCACCAGAGAACTGACATCACTGACCACCTAAATGAGGGAGGGGATGGGGAGTTAAACTAAAGGAAAAGAAAATGGGGACAGAAATAAAAGGGACCAATGAGCAAACGCACCCTAGCTAAGTTTACTGAAAAAGAAAAAAAACTAAAAAAAAAAAACAAGACCTAAGCTAACCTAAAACCAGGGATGGGTTGCCTATGTTGAACCCAGGAAAACAATATCCTAATGCTTAACCGGCATCAAAATGCCACTCAAGGTCAGCCCCTTTTACTCGGCACATACGCGCAAGATTTACCCATCAAATTCTGATGAGGTGAGCCGCCGCCTTCCGTCCTAATCTTGACTTTAAGCAGATGCTTAAAGAACAAGATCAGTTGGGAAGAAGTGAACTTCTCGCCCTCATAGAATCCCTTCTGACGCGTCGTCCAAATCACGACTCTCATAAATTTAGTAAGCAACAGAACACATAGTGTTCAGCCTTCGTCATCTGCGGCACCACATTGCAACAAACAGAACTGGCTTCAAGGACAAAAAAACTTTCCCTGCAGCATGCGAACCATGAGGCCTTCAACAAACTTGCACAACGGCACTACTGCTTTTGCACTGAAAGAAGGCGTGACCAATGGTCTCGACTTCCCCGCACAGCGACGACAGTTTGATATTTCTCCAAGCCAGCTGAACAAAGTCTTTTGCCGACCCAGAGGGCTTCACGAATCACCAGCCAGGTGAGTGATGCCTCATCGTTATTGAGGCATTTCAACCCAGGCACCCAAGGCCATATCGAGCGAGCCTCCTGCTTCGTAAGACCGAACTCGCCAATTAGATCGTCTTGTACGGCCCCACTAACTAACACTTGATACAATGCTTTGCGAGACAACGCCTGGGCGTTGATAGGCCATCGGAAGCCCGCAAGAGGAGCTTCAGAGCGCGACGACATTCACGATAGAAGGAGCACTCGGCTCGTGGTGTACGGCCGGCCTCTTCTTCGCACGAGTGCACACTTCTCAGGGACGGGAAATGTTTCTGGACGTCTTCTTTCCAAAAGGCACCCTCCTCATCCGACCCACGACACATTCGGTCTAGAAAGGTAATGCGAAGGATATATTGACGAATTTCAATGCTAGGCATACCCAGACCGCCCTCAGAGGGATGAAGGCAACAGATCTCGCGAGATACCATATGGGCCTTGCCTCTCCACAAGAAAGAGAACAAGGTCGTCCGGACTAATGACATTAGTTGGGCATACGGGAGTGGAAGCACAGAGAGTCGGTACAGGAGGATCGGATAGATGTGTGAAACACATACTTCCGCCCTTCCCTTCAGGGAAAGTCTCCTCCGAGACCACAGATTAACCGCGATCTCGGCCTTCCCTTGTACCTCCGACCAGTTCATTTCCAACTGGAGATCAGGACCGAACCAGACGCCGAGTATCTTGATCGGCCCATTCGTCCAGAGGAAAGGTCCGGGAAGAGAAACTCCCTTCCACGCACCCAACCGCAAGCCCACAGACTTTATCGCGGTTGATCTTGGCCCCTGTCACCATCTCATACCCACTGATCTCTTTCTGACTTCGTCAATCTCAGCTCTGCTCGACACAAGAGCCGAAACGTCGTCAGTATAGGCAGAATACCTGGCTGAGGTGGTAGCCCCAGGTAGAGAAATTCCGCGCAGGACCGGATTCGCCTTTAACTTGCGAAGGAATGGTTCCAACGCAAGAACGTAAAGCAGAGGCGAGAGCGGACAACCTTGACGAATGGAGCGAGACAATACGAAAGGCTTCGATCTTACCCCATTCACTTCCACCAGCGCACCGGGGGTCGCATACAAAAGTCGAATCCAGGAGCGAAAGTCGGCTCCGAAACCGGCCGCCGAAAGGACAGCCTCCAGAAACCGATGGTCAACCCTATCGAAGGCTATTTTGACTGATCTAAATTGATCAGCGCGGCTTCACTGTCGACTTGTTCTAAGATCAAGCGTACCATATGAAGGTTATCCTGAATAGTCCTGCCCTTCACAGCACAAGTCTGTTCGGGGCCAATCAGACGAGACAGGACAAGCTGCAAACGGTTGGCTAAGATCTTCGCCAAAATCTTTAAGTCAGTATTTAACATCGTTAAAGGGCGAAAGTTCCCTAACCCATCCCCACCGTTCTTGTCCTTACGCAGCAACTTGATCACACCCTTGGTGAAGCGTTGAGGTAAAGACCCCTGCTTCATCCAGTGGTTGAAAATCAGTTCCAGCAAAGGAACAAAAACGGGCGACAGCCTCAAGTACACTTCGTAGGGAAGACCATCTAGTCACGGAGACTTATCCAGGCCAATTATTTTTGAAATTTTTTCTTTTTAGAAAATCTTGTTAAAAAGAGATTTTTTTTAACATGTTTCCACCCACTTAATATTTTCATGAAGTTTCGAGAAATTAAATCTTTAAGCACGGGATTTCTTTATAATTGCATAAACATTATTGCCATAATCTTTATCCCATAATCTTTATCTCCATAATCTTTATCCCTAATCTTTATCCCATAATCTTTATCGCTATAATCTTTATCTCCATATCCCATAATCTTTATCGCCATAATCTTTATAATTGATAAGAAGGTTTGATTGGAAACTCTATGATTTTTTGAAAGAATTTCTTTATTTTTTTAAAATTTTGTCGAATAGCGAAAATAATTTAAAATTATTGTAAATTCTTTGAGAACACCCAGGATACTCCTGTTCAACAAATCGTTCTGTGCTAAAAAAAAAAAACTAATCGAAAAATATAAATTATAATAAAAATCATGTCCCTGAAATTGAAATTGTCTTTTTTTCATCGTCCAACTGTTTGATTATGGGATAAAGAAATTTTGAGCGTTTTTTTCATTCGGTATCGATTTCCGTCAAAAGTGCGCGATTTTTTCTTTATTTAAGGAAACATTCGGCGGTTGAGGTCGGTTGTCGGTTGAATTTAAATCTTCCTTTGAAAAGAGTTTTTCAGTAAAATAAGTTTTTTTTTTCAAGTTCACTGTTAGTGTTATCGTTCTTTCTAGTACTGATGACATTTTTGGGATGTGGCAAGGAATGCTTCTTTAAATGATGAATGAATCACCAAACTTTCACGTCTATGCTTGTTACATAGACTGTTTAAAAGTCAGAAATAGAGAATGTTTCTGCACAATCACTCAAAATTTGGACCTGGAAATTCTTATCGTCACGCTTACAGTCTCTCTTTGTTTCTTTCTTTTCGACTTAGATTTTTAAAATGACTAAAGAAAAAAAAACATTTGAACTTTCGGGAGATAGATAGATAGATAGATAGATGAAGAGAGACGGACCTGTTGTTGATTTCATTAACCAAACCGTGTGACTTGTGACGTCATTTGTTATGATCACGTGGTCAGGCGAGTCGCTGCTGCTGCAATGGCGGCCGCCCAAAGATCCGCGGGGTCCGTCGAAGATAACAATGGCTGCGTTGTCCCCCAATTACTTCCAGACGACGGTGACTCTGATGACCAGAACGCTGATGGTTTTACCCCGCCGGCCGACGGCTACCTTAACGAAGAACAAAGGCAGTCGGACGAAAAAGGAATTCCTTTGGCTACACCCTGGACATTTTGGTTAGACAAGTGAGTGTTAGAAAAGTTTCCCCCCGCCCGCAAAAAAAAAAAAAAAAAAAAAAAAAAAAAGTTGACCTTTTTGAATTTTCCACTTAATTTTGATTCTTTTAAATTTAAATATTTATTAATATTTTGACACTTGTGAAAATTTGGTCATTAGTTATTTAATTTCTACTTTCTTTAAAACTTTTTAAAAACTAAAAAAAAAAAAAAGAAATTTATAATAATTATTTTAAATTAATTTTCTTTTGCTTTAAAAGTTTGTTTTTTTTACTTATGTTTCTTAAAAAATCCTTTTTAGAGAAAAAAAAATTAGAGAAGTTTTGTTGAAATATTTACTTTGGAATTAAAAGTTTTAATTGCGTGTTTGTCGAACTTTCAGTCATTTTGTTTTTTGGCAGAAAAAAGTTTTTTTTTCTTTAGAAAAGGAGAAAAAGTTTTTAAACTCTAAATAAATTCGTATTTATTTAGGATTTCTTTTCAAAATTTTTATTTTTTATTTTTATTTTAGAAAATTGAATCGTTACCGACTCTAAATGAATGAAAGAAACTTTTTTTCAAATAATTTAATAATTATTTCAAAAAATGGCAATTGCTTTTTGATTGTGAGGAAATAAATTCATTTCTTTTTATTTATTTCTATAAATTACTTAAAAAAAAAATCGAAAATTGTACATTTTTTTAAAAAAAACTTTAGATTTTTGTTTGCCTTTCCCTCTTTCTTTAAAAAGTTTTTCTTTAAAAAAAAACTTGATATTTCTTCAAATGATAAACTTTAAAGGTTTTTTTTTTTTGTTTTTTTTGTTTGGTGATAAAAATTCTTCCTCTTAAAAGAAGTTAGGATCAATACTGTTTAGTTTGGTTAATAATAATGTTGTTAACCCGTTAAAAATATAGAAATAATATAAAGAATCTATTTTCGTGTCTTCCGTTTGTTTTTGTAATCCAGTTCCTTCGCAAAGATTCAAACAAAAGTCAAAACAAAATCCTTCATTATTATTCGCATTTAGTAAAAAAAGTTGTTTTGTTTAAGAAATAAAAAATTAATTTTTACTTACAGCTGCAAAGAAACGTAAAATGTCTTTCTAGATAATTCTTCTGTTGCATAAAAACTTTTTTTTCCAAGATGGAATCGATGTCTAAATTATCTTTCTTTTTTTTTTTTCTTTTTAGAAGATCCTTTTAAAGAGATGAGCTTTTTTATCTTCTGCCTTATAAAAAATCAAACCAAATTCCTTGTATTTTTATTCAAAGAGTAGAAGAAAGCCTAAAAAAGCCATTTTAAAAATGAATGAGGAAAAAAATTTAATACGTTTATAAAAAAAAAAAAGGAAAGAAAAAAAAAAAAAAAAAAAAAGTTCTTCATTCAAAGCATTTGCCGAATTTTCGCTTTAATTTTACTTTTTCTTTCGGTGACTATTTTGGTTGTTTTTTTGTTTTTATTAGTATTTCTTCTCTGGATGAAAAAAAATGCCCCATAAAAATTCCAACTATTATTTTTCTTGCTTTTTATTTATTTTTAGCAAAAACTAAAAATTGTTCTGGGAAAATCTTTGGAATTTTCATTTCGGCAACTTTTACAGAAAAAAAGTTTCAAAAGAAAATCTGTCAGCGAATTTTTAGCAGTTTGTTTTTTTTTTTTTCTACCAAAAAAACAAAACAAAAAAAGACAATTTGAAAATATAATTGTAATTAAAACTTGAAAATTATCAAAATTAAATTAAAAAATCTTAATAGTTAAAATTTGAATAAATTTTCTCTAGTTTAAACTTTAAATTAAAATCATCTTCGAAAATAAAATGTTATATAAACAAAGATTTGTCAGTTTTTCAGGATTTTTAATTTTTTTTTTTAACCAAAGTTAAAAACAAAACAAAAAAAACAAAAAAAAATTGCACAAATTATTTAAAGTATTTTTTAAAAAACTTTGTTTGGTTGTTAAATAAATCAACATTTTTATTTTTTTGTTCATTTCCGTAAAAATTAAAAAAAAAAAAAAATGAATTTGACAGAAATAAAGAAAAAAAGCGTCATTAAAAAATTTTTTTTTTTTTTTTTTTTTTACTAAAAAAAAACTATTTTTTTTTTTTTTTTTAAGCTGACTAAAATATTTCCTCTTTTTCGATCAAGATGGACATTTTTAAATTAAAACTTCGCATTTGCTTATTTGCGTCATTTTTTTTTTATTCATTTATTTATTTGAAACTAATTTATTATTGAATAATCATTTAAAAAAAAAACAAAAAAAAAACAAACAAACCAGAAAAGGAATTTCGAAGAATACAAAAAAAAAAAAGTTAATAATTTCTCTTCTTGGCTTTGATATTGAAACATAAATAAAAAAAACCAAAAAAAAAAACCCTCTGATGAATGAAAAATGTTTTTCTCCTTTTAAGGAAATTGTTAAAGTTTTTGATTTCTGATTGAATTGCAAATAAGCAAATTCCACTTTTGTTTTTGTCTCTAAACACTTCCATAAACGATTGACATAGGAGGAATTTCTTTCAAATAGTGAATTTATCTCTGCTTTTTACACTCACGTTTAGCATGGACTTAAAAAAAAAAAAAAAAAAAATGAATGTCTTCGAATTCTTTAATTTTATTTTTAATTTATTAATTTTAGACACTTTGAAAATATTGGGGTCCGGTATAGTCACTCATCCTCAATCATTGACCTTTATTTTCCTTTTATTAATGACAATTGAAAGCTAATTAAAAAAAAAATTCCTTAAAAAAAATGACAAACTAATATTTCACTTCGAGATTTGTTTCAAACAGAATTAACAAATATAAGGATTATTCTATAAAAATTAAACTCGTTTCTTAAAAAACATAGCAAAACAACAATAGTTTTCTACTGTCCCCCCCCCCAATTTTTACAAAACTGAATTAAAGACAACGAGAATCAAGTCAATGGTATTGTTTATATTTTTAAAAAATAATTTTTCTTTAACCAAGAGTTCTAAATATGTATATATATTTTTTTTTTTTCTGAGATGAAGTGTTATGTACATTATTTACTATTATCTTTGTTGCCATATTTATTACAACGTTTCGGCCGTTGTATGCACTGGCCTTCTTCAGGTGGTTGGAATGTCGAACTGAACCCTTTATTTCGCTCACTGTTCTAGTTCCATGTGCCCTGTCTAATACCAGTTATATCTCCTGTTAATTCCCCTTAACGAGGTATTGAACTTGCACTCTTTTTGGGTCCTGTACCTAACGCCTTTATCCACTGTGTCATGTGTCCTTGAGGACATCTGTGTATGAATTTCTGGGTATTATAAACCTAATGTCTTCAATCATTTTTTTTTTTTTTTTGCTGTTATCATTGCATGTTTTTTTACCAGAGCTCATATTGCAATTTTTGTTGTTATTGCTTTTCTCTTGCACACCTCATTACTGGTTCCCATATTGTATTCATTTCTATGCTTGGTCAACTCAGGAGATTTTTGTGGCCTAGCGTGCTGGTTTCTTAAGTTTACGAATTTTCCAATGATGTTCTTTGTCTATGATTTCAACCTGATCCCACAGAGGGCGTTGATTTCCCTTTTCTCTCCATATATGTGGTCAGCTATGCCTGATTTTTCCACTTGGTTGCTGAAGACATTAGGTTTATAATACCTCAAGGTCACATGGCACAGTGGATAAAAGTGTTAGTTAGATCCAGTGACAGGACCCAAAAAGAGTGAGTTCAATACCAAGTTAAGGTGGTGGATAACTTGGAAGAGGGGAATTAACAGGAGATAACTGATAACTGACATCCATTAGACATGGCATGTGGAACTAGAACAGTCTACCCCAGTGAGTGAAATAAAGGGTTCAGTTCGACATTCCAACCACCTAAAGAAGGCCGGACTGTAGAACGTAATAAATATGGCGACAATAGTCCGAATAATGTAAATAGTATAATTTTTTATTCTATATGATCTTTTTTTAAATTTAGAATGAATAATTTTTTTATACTTGAGTATAATATAGGCATATAAGAAATAATAATAATAATAATAAAGTAGTTAAATGATACTTTTGTTGACTTTTACTTGTTGCATTTATTTTTCTTCTTCTTTTTTTTCCTATTTGATATTAAAATATTTAATTGCATCTCATGAGATCTTTTTTTTAATTATTCTGATTTTAAAATTTATTAAACTAAAGAAATTGCTATTTATTATAAATCATCCTCGGTATGAGAATAAACTACATCTGGCAACAAGGCCTCTGATGAGGAGGTTTTAAGGAGCGTGGAACCCCCTCTTAAATTGCTGGTGTTCCCAGGTCCACTCTAATTTGGCGTGGTAGCACCTGTTAAGGGTCCCAAGACATTTTCATAGTAAAAGAAATTACTGGCATCACATTTTTATAAGGAAAAAATTACCAGCAGTACATTTGTGTAAAAGAAATTATTAATGGCTACAAGAAAATTATATTTCAGCATTAAATGACCTTTAAGGAGTTCATATGCCGTTCGAACAAAACAAAAAAAACAAGCCACTATAAAAAGTTAAAAATTGATAAATACTTATTGAATTGATACTGTTAACTGATTTCCTTGCCAGAAATGATTTTGTTTTTGAACTTCTGTCCCCCCAAAAAAAACTTCTAAAAATGAAAAAAAAAATAAATAAAATTCTTTTCAAAACATTTCATGCTTGAAAAATATTCAATGTAAATTTCTTTTTCCACCAAATCAGAAAGAAAATTTTTTAAAATATGCAAGCACCAACTCTACAAATAAATATTTTTGAAGTTTTATTGAATTATTTTTGGTAAAGTTCAGATCAAATTTTCTTTGTTCACACTTGATATGGCATTATTTCTTTTACTGAAATAATGTCTTCAGAGATTTTTCTTTGTGTAAAAAAAAAAAAAAAAAAAAAAAATTGTGCTATTGGAATGCAGTGGGGGATGAATTTGATCAAATAAAAGGAACTTTGTGATGAGTTGTTTTTAATATTCAATGAATGACTATTCTCATCATATTTCAAATTGAGTCTCCATCTTTTTCT